CTCTCTTGAGCTTCCAGAGTTATTTGGACAGATCTCTATGGATGATCATCCCATGCTATCTAAGTCACTCTCTCCAGCTGTCTCCTAAAACAGGAATCCTGGCCTAGTCAGCATAGTATTTACTGTGTCTTATGCAAAGTCCAAGGCAGACATTTGTTCTAATTTCCAAAATAAACTACTTGAATCCTCTCCAGCCTCATCTATGGCATTTTCCTTCCATTCTGTGGAATCTTCAAAAAAGTACAACCTTGACCATTTAAGAGCTTGAAATCCATAGGGTCTTATTATGCAGGCTTGATTGACTGGTAACTCACTGTGTAGACCAGGCTAGCTTAAAACTTTGAGATCCATCTGCCTTTACTTTTCTAGTATGTTGGTTTGAATAGGTATGGCTCACATAGACTCGTGTGTTTGAATGCTTGGCTTATAGGGAGTGACACTATTAGAAGGTGTGGCCTTGTTGAAGTAGGTGTGACCTTGTTAGAGGAAGTATATTACTATAGGGACAAGCTTTGTTATATTCTCAAGCTATGCTCAGTGTGGTACAGTCTCCTGGTGCTGCCTGCAGATGAGGATGTAGAACTCTCAGCTCTTTCTCTAGCACCATGTCTGCCTACATGCTGCCATGCTTACCACCATGATGATAATGGACTAAACCTTTAAAACTGTAAGCCAGCCCTAATGAAATGTTTTCCTTTATAAGTGCTGGCATGGTCATGGTGTCTCTTCACAGCAATAGAACCCCTAACTAAGAAACCTCGTGTTGAGATCAAAGGCATGAGCCACCACAACCAGCTAATTTTTTAAAAATTTCATTTCACTTTAAAAAGTTGTAAATTATATGGAGCTTTGCTTCTGCATGAGTCTGTGCTAAATCTGTGGACACCAAAGAGGTCAAAGGAATCAGACCTTCTTGAGTTACAGGCAATTGAGAGCAGTCTGACATGGGTACTGAGAACTGACCTCAAGTCCTCTAGAAGAGTATTGCATACTCTTAACCACTGAGTCACCTCTCCAGTTTCCAAATTGTTTGGCAGGGGGATGGAGTTGGGGGCGGGGGGAAGAGTTGTTTGTTTTGCTTTTGAGACAAAGTCTTATGTGTCCCAGGCTGGCCTTATACTTTTGAGCCTTCAGCCTCTACTTTCCAGCTGCTGAGATTACAGGTGTACACTATCATTTGGCAAGACCTAAATTTTTTTTTTAAAGATTCATTTATTTTATGTATATAAGTACACTGTTGCTGTTTTCAGACACACCAGAAGAGAGCATCCAATCCCATTACAGATGGTTGTGAGTCACCGCCAGGGTGGTGGTGGCGTACGCCTTTAATCCCAGCACTTGGGAGGCAGAGGCAGGCGGATCTCAGAGTTCGAAAGTTCGAGGCTAGCCTGGTCTACAGAGTGAGTTCCAGGACAGCCAGGGCTACACAGAGAAACCCTGTCTCGAAAACAAAACAAAACAAAACAAACAAACAAAAGGTTGTGAGTCACCATGTGGTTGCTGGGAATTGAACTCAGGACCTCTGGAAGAGCAGTCAGTTGACCATTGAGCCATTTCTCCAGCCCCAAGACCTAAATGTTTAACACTGTCTCTAAGCCCCAGCATGAGATGCTTGTTTGACTCATTACAGAAACAAGAGTCACTTCCCTCTTATTCCCACTGTAATAACGACATTGGCCTCTCAGTTCCTCTACTGCTCCTTGCTCCCTCTGTCTCTTTGCACACAGTTCCTTCTGTGTACTTCTCTTTGTCCTTCCATTCCTTTCTCTCCCCTCACACCTTTTGAGAAGGGCCTTAGGCTGGAGAGATGACCCAGCTGTTAAAAGGCCAGGATCACTACCAAAAATAAGAGATCATATATCATGTAACCCAGGTTGGTCTTGACAAGTAGCCAAGGCTGGCATGGAGCTTCTAATTCTCCGGCCTCCATCTTCTGAGGTCTAGGATTGCAGATGTGTGCCAGCATGCCCAATCTCCTTAATTTCTACTCAGCTCAATGACATTTCCTAGAGAAGACCTTCCTGCTTTCCATTCTACATCAAAGAACACTAATTTTCCTTCATACTGCTTATCACAATTGAGAGTAAATGATCCCTTAATTGGGTATTTAGTGCTTGTCTCTCATGTACTCCAAACTCAGAGGACAGAGGTACAGTCTTGTTGCCCTCTGTATCCTCCGCATAGAGCTGTGGTTGACACTCTACAGAAGGTCAGGGTTCAACATATGCTCCCTCAATGGCCACTCCCCTTTTTGGATTAAAGCAAACGTTTACTCCTTTCACAACTTCATATCCTCTTATTGTTTACAAATTCACTATTCTGAGTGTCACTTATCTGTGTCACTGTTATTTCCCATAGTTGATGATTTCTAAGGGGTCTAGAGCTAGGACTGGAACCCAAAGTTTTATACATAGGAGGCAAGTGATATGCCACTGAGGTACATCTCTCTATTTTTGGAGACAAGAGTCTCACTGTGTTGCCTAGTTATTCAACTCTGTCCTCTAGTCTCTACTTCCCAAGTGCTGGAATTACAGGTGTGGGTCACTGTGCTGCTCAGAAACTCGATATACATACAAGGGGGCTTCCAACTTGGTGATCTATTTGCCTCTGTCTGCTGAGTGCTGGACTTCCAGGTGTGCACAACCATGCCTAGCTATTGATGGCCTTTTAAAGCTCTCTGGTTAAAATTTAAGGGCAGTGAGTGGGCTAAACATGTTGGGCTATGTGGTAAAATCTGGGTTTGGACTCTATTATTTAATAGCTGTGTGGTTTTCGGCAAATTGCTCTCTGGTCCTCAAAGTGCTCAACTATAAATCAAGGACATAACAGCCCTTTTTTATTCAGGCTATGGGTGAGGTTCAGTAAGGTAATACAAAGCATGAAGAACAGGGTCTGGTTTCAGCAAATGCTCAATAAATGTCAGCCATTCTTTTCATATATAGTGAAAGAGAAAGGGTCCCCATTTCTCACTTGATACTGGAAGAAGTTTGGGGGTATTGGCTGTGCCATGAAGTTTTATGTGGGAAGTTAAGGTTAGAGCAGTTTAAAATGTAATGCAACCCCTCAATTCTTTTTTCTTTTTACTTTGAAGTCTTAAAACTGAAGACAGTGGGAGGAAGTAGCTGTTAGCTAGTGTCTAATGGTTTCAACTGACAGCAGCATGGTGTGCACTTTCTTTCACAAGTCTGTTCACATTGTTTAACAACCATCAGTAGGTACCACTGCCAGACAGAGGAGGAATGCTAAGAGAGGGCTCCTACTTCAACTTCTTGACACCTAGCAATTTGCAATGTTGTATATATTTTTTTGGGGGGGGAGGGGGAAACTACCTAAGACTTTACCTTTTCAGTCTACTGGCACTTCCTAGGTGATCAGAGCCTACCAGTGGGGCCATACAAAAGCCAAAATAAATGAGAAAATCAGAATTTCAAACCAAGGTAGGCATCAGCTACCAGGAACCAAAAGAAGATATCTCCCTATCTCCCTCAAATAGATGTGTGTGTGTGTGTGTGTGTGTGTGTGTGTGTGTGTGTGAGAGAGAGAGAGAGAGAGAGAGAGAGAGAGAGAATATCAGTTTATCTTCCCATAAGACTCAGTGTTTTCTTTCCTAAAGGCACACTCTGTTCTCCAGCAGAAGGTAGGAAGCCAGTCCTGAGAGAATTCCTTCTCCTCGCCCTTTTAAATCTTGAGGAAGAGCTGCCAAGTGTATAAATTCCTCCTTTGATCAGAAGATAAACCAGAACAATGCTGTAGAGCTGAGCAGATTCCTAAGGGACATTCTTCTGGGGTGTGTAAGCTTGCTTGGAAGTGCCAATGTACAGAGGAAGGTGGGGTGGTGGACAGCTAGGGGCTGGGAAGGTGGTACAGCCAGAAATTGCTCCTAGACATCTCCCTAGAATAGCTTTTTGTTTTGCTTAGCTAGTGCTGGAGACTGAACCTACCCCTCACACATGCTAGTTAGGTGCACTACCACTGAGCTAGACTTTTTTTTCTTTTTTGAGACAGGTCCTGAACTGTTGAGCTTTAGTAACCTCCTGTCTTAGCTTGGACTACAGAAAGATACCACATTCTCCTATTCCCTCCCCTCCCCTCCTTCTCTACCCTCTTCTCCCGCTTCCCCTTAAAGTAGAACTTCATCCAGTCTCCAGAAGTGCATGAAGTTTATTTAAATGAAAGGACCAGAGTTCTCTCCTCCCTTACTAAAGGAAAGGGGAAAATGCTGGGAATACACCTCTAAATTCCAAAACCCAAGTAGACTCTGCCAGTTTACGTTGCCATTCCTCTCCTCTGACAGTTACTCACAGTCCTCTTTTGCAATCTGTAAAACGGGAATAATTTTCCCATCTGTTTCACAGTTTTGAATTAGATAACAGAGCGCTAAACTCTTTACAAGCACAAATCCAGTCGGCGCTCACGAGAAAGGTATGATTACTATGGGGCCTGGGTGTGACGTCTGGCCGAGCGCTGTTATTATCAGGCTATCCTTCCTCACCTGACCGTGGCAAAGCTGTCAGCAAACACCAGGGTGAGAACGCCGCACGCATCCGGCCCTGTACAGGACCCACAGGACGAGCTAATTACAAAGTTCGAAGCACCTGAACGTCCGCGAGAGCTCGCTAAATGCTGGAGGGAATGAAAGATTTCGTTTTGACTGTGCGTTTCTGTCTTCCAATCCAAGCTAATCTCCGGGCGGCCTGGGGCCAAGATCTCAAACCAGGCAACCGCAGGCCAGAGGTCGGCGGCGCGCGGTGCTGGGAAAGGGCCTGGGAACAAAGGGCGCTTCGGAGCCCGAGGCGGGCCTGGAGGGGTCCCGGGGCAGCTTCCCTGTGAGGGCCCGAGCCGCGCCTAGACACCCATTCCCCGGGGCAGCCACTCCAGCTCGCAGTCTCCCCGCTGCTGCTTTGCAGGCCCCGCCTGCGGCCCGCCCACCACCTCAGGTAGGCTATCCGCGTCAGCCAATCGCAAGGCGCCCAAGTACGGGGGGCGGTGCTTGTACCGTCGGAAGTGACGTGCGGTGCTCGGCTGGCTGCGGAGTCAGTCGAAGCTCTCCTCAGCGGCCGGCTGAGCCAGCTGAGGCGGGAGAAAAACATGGCTCGGACCTTGGAAGGCGCGAAGGCTCGAGTTGCGGTGGAGACCAGGGCTCCCGCGGCGTGAGGTGAGGGGCGGCTGGTGCGTGCGGAGCGAGGCCTGGCGCTGCGTGGCCGCAAAGGGACTCAGGAGAGGGACCGCGGCCGCCGTGCCCCTTGGTCACTCCATCCTATTTGACTCGTTCCTCGGGGCCCCGTCCCCCACCCGGCGGTCGCCAGCGCCCTGTGCCAGGCCCCTTTGTCGCGGGCCGCCGGACGCTGCTGTCCCCCGGGGGGAGGGGAAGCCACCCCACGGTCCCCCGGGAGAGTGAGGGAGCGCGGCGGCGGTCCCAGGCTCCGGTCCCGACTGTTCTGGAGAGTGGCTGTTGAACTTCTGCTATGGCCTCTTCCTCCTCCTCTCCCAGCTTGGGTTTTGGAGCCTCGGGTGGTTCTTTTTCTTCTCCTAAGACCCTTCACCTCGTTACCTTCAAACAAACATCCAGAATCTACTTGCTTTGGGAACGCAATAATATTTGTGTATGTTTAGCGCGTCATCTTTCTGCTAGGACATTGTGGAGTGAGACTATTTAACTCCTCCTGAGTGACTGAGGAACAAGAAATAAAGAGGAGGGGCGTGTATTCGGTAGTTCTTTCCCTGTGTTGTCCTGATAGAAGGTGAGGTTCTAATTATTATATTTTTATTTTAGCCAGTGGGTGTTTAAATTGAGTGACACGAAGGAAGCATCCCTGTTTGAACACGATTACTTATTAAAGAAGTATCCCCAAATCTTTCCAGGTAGGTGTCAGGAGGAAAACTGCCTTGGGGAAAATTATTGAATGTGGAACACTTTGGGGAAAAATTATTGAATGTGAAACATCCCAAGCCACAAGGTCAGAAAATAAAAGGCTGTTCTTAGAGGTTTGATGAAGTAGCATTAGGGAAGAGGCTGCGCAGAGGTCCTGGAACACTGGTTCCAGGGAAGACTTTGTACTCTTGCCTCCTTGGTGATGGTTCAGCTTCATTCTCCACAGGAAACTGTTAAGCAGCTCTGCTTTAATTGGGGTTGGTTATTCAAGGTTACAGACCACACTGAAGTGCCTTGGTTGAAATTTTCTCAAATTCTTGAAGCTGTCTGCATGTTTGGCATTCAGTGTTTTGAGTACTGAAAGGTGTTGTAGCCGATATCGAGATATTTGTTAACTCAAACTTAGTTTCAAAGTGATTTTTAACATTGGTACAAAATAAATACAGAGCTTCTACAAATTCCCATGAGTTTTGGCTAAATTCAGATTCAAAAGCAGTTTGTCTTGTGAAAACCTCTGTTGAGTTGGGCATGATGGTGTACCCTGTAATTGCAGTGCTTGTCTGCATTGCGGAGCTATGGTAGGAGGGTCAAATTTAAGGCCAGCCTAGGCTACCTAGTGAGACACTGTCTCTAAAAGTAATAATAATAAAGGAAGGAATTGTGTTATGATTTGTGTACATGTTGCCTGCAGTTTAATTTGTGAACATCATACTTTTATGATCTCAATCTTTTTCAGTTTTATAGAGCATAAAGGTTGGCATGTTTGCTTTCAGGATTTTAGAAACAACTTTCTGTAATTACCTGTGTAAGTGTATGAGTCTTTGTTGCATCTATTTAGAGGTCTAAATTTTCCATTCAGTTTTATGTTGCTGTGAACATTTCTGTGCCCAGGAGTAAATCTGGCATATTGTTTGGAATGTAATAAATTAGGCACATTCAGTACATTTGTACCTAAAGACAGTCTGATTTCTGTTTTTTTTTTTTTTTTTTTTTTTTGGTTTTTGTTTTGTTTTGTTTTTCAAGACAGGGTTTCTCTGTGTAGCCCTGGCTGTACTGGAACTCACTCTGTAGACCAGGCTGGCCTCGAGCTCAGAAATTCGCCTGCCTCTGCCTCCCAAGTGCTGGGATTAAAGGCGTGCGCCACCACCTCCGGGCAACAGTCTGATTTCTAAGAGCTCAGAGTTTGCATTACAGCGTCACATAAACCCTTGAGATCAGGAGAGGTGCAAAGCACTTTCCTAAACTGCTTTAACAACATACCTGTAGAGATGAGCCTGAGCTACAGAAGACTGTCTCCAAAAACAAAAAGCAAAACAACAGAAGTTTTGTGAGCTGGGGATATAGCTAAGAAACCTTGCCTTACCACAGGCCCTGGTTTGATTCCCAGTACTTTCAGAATGAAATTGTAACTAATCTTGCTTTGATAAGAAAACTTAGTCTGTTTTACTAACTGATCATATTTCCACAACAAAGTTAAGACAGGAAAATGCTAAAGATGTTTTAGTGTGCTGCATTTACAGAATTTGGTGATTTGTTTAATCTGGACATAGCCACAGTCCGCCCTCCCAGTACTAGGGATTGACCCTTGGGCCTAAGCAAGCACTCAACTACTGGGCCATATCCCCTTTAGTTTGGTGGTTTCATTTGATAGTTGTGACTGAATTGGGCTTCAAACCAACAGCCAGAAACTGGGGAGGGAGGAGGAAAGGAGAGAAAGAAAGCAAAGTAGATATTGTTCAATCCACCTAGGAAGACAGGTTAGCAAGTTCCAACACTGTGGTTATAAAGACAGTGGTAGATTCTTAAAGTTCCAAAGAAGAATATGATCTCCTGGGTTGGGAGGTGAAGAAATGAACAGGTCTTTTGAGAAAGATTATGCTCAAAATGAGGTTTACAGAATGAGTTCTTTTATTAACAATGGCAACATGGGTAAAAGTGATCAAATCCTAAGCTCTCTTCCATTACCTGAACGTGGTAAGGTAATTGAGAAAAGTGCCTAATAGCTTTGGTATTTATTTGATAGTATTTATATACAGTATTCTTTTAGTAGGAATCATGGTCACACTTGGAAATTCTGCTCTCAATAGGTGTCTTCCACATTGTTCGTAGGACTATGGTTGAAGCTAAAAGAAACCTCTTGGTTTTCCTTGCTTATGTGAGTCACAGTTTTGTTTGGTTGCTTGCTTTTGTTTTTGTTATTTTGAAACAGGGTTCCTCTGTGTATCTCTGGTTATCCTGGAACTTACTATGTATATTAGGCTGGCCTGGAACTCACAGAGAACTACCTATCTCTGTGTCCAAGTGTTGAGATTAAAAGCATGCACCTTTAAAAGCACATCTGTCCATGAAGTCACGGTTTTTATATCTTTATTTTGTGCATTTGTGTATACTTTGTATCTTTTTTGCAATGTTACTTATTTAAAAATTTAAAAAATATATATATATATATATATATATATATATATATATATATATATATATATACACATACATATATGATATTTCCACCCCACCTCTGTTAATCCTCTTTTATCTCTTCCCTTTCCAGTAAACCTCTTCTTCCTCTCAACAACTTTCATGGCTTCCTTTTTCCCTTTTGTGGAAATTTAAATTAAGGTTGTCTGCATGAGCATGGACGGGTAGTTATTTACTTAAGTAAAGGTGGCTAGCCAGGGGTTGCACACTGTGGGATATGACTTCCCACCCCTGGCAACCATTCCTATAGCTCCTTCAGAGTGGGGTAAGTTTATGAGTCCCTTCCAAATCCATGATAGAATGTTAATGTGCCCAGTCTTATGCAGGTCTTGTGCCATGCTTCTGTGAGTAATGGATACAGCAGCCATGTCACACCCTGAAGACTGTTTTACAGTATTCCCTCCCATATTCTGGCTCTTAAATTCTTTCAGCCTCTCTTCCTCAGTGTTACCTGAACTTTGGAGGAGTGGTATTAATGTCCTGTTTAAGGCTGAGCCCTCAGCAGTCAGTCATTTTCAACACATTGACTAATCATACAGTTCTTCATTAACTTACACCTACTGTAAACAGAAGCTTCCTTGACCTGCACTGAGAATAGCACTACAACATAAATATCTAGAAGCTAGTTCAACACTGTCCACTTAGCAAAACAACAGTAATAGCTTTCTCTCCTTGGTCTCGTGACCTCTCGATCCATTTACAGTACAAATACAGGCACGAATTCCTATGGAATTCATGGGTCTCAAGTCCTATTAGAAGCAGTTAGTTGTCCCCATAACAGCTGTGCTGGCTAATTTACATCAATAAAGCAGGTTGAGCAAGCTGTGGAGAGCAAGCCAATAATCAGTGTCCTCCATGGCTTCTGCATCTGCTCCTGGTTCCAGGTTCCTACCTTGTTTGAGTTCTTATCCTACCTTCCTTCAGTGATGAACAGTGATTTGGAAGCATAAGCCAAGTAAGCCCATTTCCCCTCAGTTTGCTTTTTTGTTCATGGTGTTTCATCACAACAATAGTAACCCTAAATAAGACAATAGCCATGCCACTATTGCACCAGTGGGCACGTCTCGGCCAGAAGATTGGTGTCATAGCTCACAGGATTCATAGCAGAGTAAGGGTATTGATGACATTTCTCTTCTAGTAACCTTCACAATGCCTTCTGACATAAAAAATAGGAAGCAAGGAGGAAGTTTCCAGTTCAGTTCTAGCTTGATGTTTTCAAGTCTTGGAACCAGAAGTGTTTTGTATCTTCAGCAATAGTGTCTTATTACTTAGGTCTGGTTAGCAACCAAGAGCAATAGCAGTAGCCTGTATTGGGGGGAGAGGAAGTGTTGGGCACTTCCTTATCCAACAAACCTATTAAGGGGTATTTTACACCATCCCTGGCACTAGGAGTTTTGTTTTAATTTGTTGGAACATTATCCACTTGGGATCTTACTGTGTAGTCCTGGTCTGGAATTTGCCATGTTGAGAAGCCTCAAACTCAGAGATTTGCCTTCTACCTCTTGCTACTGGAGTTAAAGGCATGTGCCACCATGCCTAGTCTATGTTTTCTTTCTGATGTGATAGATTAAAAAAGAACAAGATGTACACATAGACATTTTGACAGTTAAAAGGGAAATAAATACAACTGTGAACTACTTTCTGGATTTCTTTTTTGCTTTTGTAGGTAGGGTCTCATAAAGCCTGTGCTGGCCTTAGATTGTAGCTAAGGAGGACCTTGAAGTCTAGCTCTTCCTGTGTTCTATCTGTCAAGTGTTAGGATAGCAGGTACCACCATAACTGACCTTGGATTTCTTTTTTGCTATTTG